TCAACAATGAACTTCTTGCTATAGGTGTGCCTCTAGAGGCACCATGCATCTAGGGCTACTGATTTTTTATTTTATTTATGCTCTGGGGCAGTGAGGGGCTCCCTCTGGCCCTGTCAGAGATGGCTTTGTGCCCTTTGTACCTTCTTCTGCTCTCTAGACAGGGTCACAAATTGCTGAAGCAGTTGACCAGACAGAAAAGGAACACTCTTGGCTCTAGTGTCACAAGCCCCACCTCAGGTCTTAGGAGTTGTTACTACTAGTCTACAGGCCTCCAGCATGGATGAGTGAGTAGTAGAGGATGCACAGCTGCACATATTCCCAGTGCAGATCAGTGGTCAGAAGATTGGGCATCATCTGTTCGTGAGTTCCTCATATGGTTGGTTGGGAAGAACCAAATGTCCCTGGAGCTCATAATTTGGATATGTCATCCAGAGTTGCCAGTCCTTGGAGAAGAGCATCATGCTGGGAAAGATAGAGGGTCAACAAAAGAGAGTAAAACCCTCAATGAAAAAAAAAAAACACAAAACCCTCAATGAGATAGATTAATATCGTGACTGTAGTGATGGGATTGAGCATAGAGGAAATTGTAAGGATGGAGCAGGATAGAGCAAGGTTTTGATCTGTTCATGGGGTCTCTATGAGTCATAGTTGACTGGATGGTATACCACGAGAACAGTCTGGGAAGACTGGCTCTAAGGTGAGGCCGTCTTTAAACTTCTACTCTTGTTGTTGTTGTGTACCATAGAGTCTGATCCAACCTATAGCTAACAATCCAGCAGGTTTCAAATGTGGTTAAATATATGGGAGGAGACTGTATAGCCTTCTTCCATGGAGTGGCTGATGTCCTCAAACCGCGTGCCTTTGGGATTGCAGCACAGCTTCTTGATTCTAGGGCACCAGAACTCCCTAAACTTTTATTATAACTACTTATTTGCCTAGAAGTTAGTTTCAACTTAGAGACCCTCCATCATATTTCTGAGGCCATAATTCAGTGGAAGAGACTACCTTTCTTTATCCTAAGTTGGATTTTCTCTCAATATTGGATTTGAATTGCCATTGACATTTGGTCTTGGGGTTAACAATACAACTCCGTGTTGACTAGATCCCCAGAGCACCTTTCTGAAAATATCAAGGCAAAGCATCATAACTCTGTATTAATTTTTACTTCTTGCTATGCAGAGTCTAGGGAGGTTTAGGTGCATATTGCTGTTATTGGGTACTTTCAAGTCAACTACAACTTACAGTGCCCCTTTGAACAGCAGATCTGAACCTTGCCCTGTTCTGCACCATATCTGATATACGTGAGCCTATTGTTAAGTCACCATATCATCTATCTTGTTGGAGGTCTTCCTCTCTTTCTCTGAAGCTCCATCTTTCCCAGTATGATATCCTTTTCCAAAGTCTGATCCCTCCTGATAATATGCCCAGAGTATGAGAAATGAAGTGCCGCTGTCCCTGCCTGATTTCACTTCTTCCACAACAGATTTGTTTATTCTTTTGGCAGGACAAGGGATATTCAATACTCTTCTCCAACACCACAAATCAAACACATCAATTCTTCTGTCGTCCTTATTCGTTGTCCAACTTCCAGATGCTTAGTAAGTAATTAAAAGGACTGTGACTTGGATCAGGTGCAACTTTGTCTTTAATCTGACACTGTTGCTCTTTACCACTTTGGAAAGGACCTTGACAGTAAGTTTTCACAATGCGCAATGTCTTTTGATTTCCTGATTGGTATTCTATGGGTGTTGATTGTCGATCCAAGTAAAATTAAATGCTTGGAAACTTCAATATCTTCTCTGTCTGTCATGATATTAACCTGTTGACCTAGTGATGATGATTCTTTTTTCTTGATGTTGAGAGGTAACCCTGGTGAAGGCTATGGTGTTTTTATATACTTTGGTATGTGCTTCAAGTCTTCTTCACTTTCTGCAGGCAAGGTTTTGTCATCTGTATAGCTCAAGTTGTTGGTGAGTCTTTCTCAAATGTTACCACATCCTTCTTCAAATCTTCTTGAATGTTATGCTCAGTATACAGACTAAATAGACATGGAGAACGTATACAACCCTGATGCATGCCTTTCCTGATTTTAAACTTTGCAGTGTTCCTTTGTTCTATTTGCATAACTGCTTCAGGGTATTTGTATATCGGTTTTGTGTGAGCACAATGGCAGTCGATAATTAAAAATTCCTATATAAGAAGCAGTGACAATGTAGGAAAGGCTGAATCTGACTTTTGTGGACTCCACAAGGGGAAACTGTCCCCATTAATAACATCCAAACACCAAAATAGTTTTCACATGATCAAACATGGTCCCCTACTCAACTTCACCCACTGCACCCACTTGTATCAATCACCAGGACCAATATCTGTTGCAAAAGTTGTGGGATTTGTGCTTGCTTCGGCAGCACATATACTAAAATTGGAATAATACCGAGAAAATTTGCATGGCCCATGTGAAAGGATGACATGCAAATTCATGAAATGTTCTATAGTTTAAATAATAAAAGAATATAAAAGTTGTGAGAAACAGATTATGGGCGGGGAGCAGGAAAAGACAAAAGATAGCATACAATGAAAGACCAGATTCAGTCCAGCAACACAGATGCAAGAAGCCTCTGATTTCTTTCAATTGCCAAGTAAATAAAACCTTTGTCTCTGTCTCCAGGGCTCCATCAGGCTATGCCATGCCTCAGTCTCTCCACAGCCTGTAAGCTTTCTCTCTTATGTTGACTTCACAGCTGTTGACAATGTAAAATGGGCTTATCAAAAATGAACCAGGTATCTGCAGTTGAGACATCTGGAGACCACACCCCCAGGGAAGCTAAGGGTGGTGGGCAGAGCTTCAAAAAATAATTTATTTGCACATTGCCACGTGGCCACATGTTCAGGTCTAAGGCAATGGTTGTAGTTATCGTGTGCTGTGGAGTTGAAAATAACTCATAGCTGACTCTCCAGCAGATTTTCTGAGGCAGTAAATTGCAAGAGAAGAGACTGTCCATCCTCCCTCGAAGAAGCTGGTAAATTCGATCTGCGTACTGTTGGGGTTGCAGCAGTTTCTCATCAGTAGGTCACCACAGCTCCCTAAGGCAATGGTAGTAAAACCATTTTCAAAATCCCTAATGTGACAACTACACAAAAGTCTTTTACCAAAATTTAACAATTTCTCTCTTAAAGCACTCTTCTGAGCTTTTTTTTCTTTTTCTGCATTTTATGAAATTAGATTTCAGAGTCCAGAAAACTTCGGATTTTTACATATTATTCCTCTAGATTTTTAGAGGGAGAAGTTGGGTTTTTTTTTTTGTTTTTTTAACATTTTTACATATTTCCCCCTCTTGTTTTAGAGGGACAAGTTGTGTTTTGTTTTTTATATTTTTAGTGGAGGGGTAGGTTTTTTTTAGTTTTTGGCTCAGACATTTTTTTGTAATATCACCAATCATTCCTTTTCTCTTTCATATGAGAACGCTGAGGCACCAAATGGGTATTTAAACTTGTCCAAACTTATTAATTTAATATTAGAGTTAACCTTGATACCCAGGTGGTCTTACTTAAGCTCAACCTCCCAACCACAGTCAGACACAAGTTTTTCCCAAGTCAGTAAGCTGGAGTTACAATAAGAAAATGCATGGCCCTGCCTTGTAGAAATTTCAGTGTTAAGAAAAAAAAAGTGCTCCGTGCTGCTTCAGATGCACTGAGGAGTGAGGAAGGGGAGAAGTGTCAGAACCTGTTCCCCACGATTGAACAGTCAAGCCTGTATGGAGAAGACTGGTAGACTCTTAACCTCACAGAATTATTTCTATTGACCATTGATTGACTCTCTGCTGAGTACTTCTGACACTTGCTTTTGTTGACTTCTTATGAGGTCCATATGAGAATGCAAATTCCTTAAGTCACACAGCTCAAGTGATTGGACTGAAATTGTAAACCAAGCTTGTGGAACTCTTAAGAGTTTTGTCTTTCTGACATTTCAAGCATGACTATCTGTTGATCATTCTACCAAAAAATTCATACTCTGCACAGACTGAAGGAAGAGAAGTTTTCATGAAGAACATACATTTTTCAGCTGGTGGGAAAGTATTTAAGAATCCAAATACCAACTAGTAGAATTATTTTACAGAAGTTAATTCCTGCGCATAAGACAGAAGTTGCCAATACTTTGACCCTGCCATTCAGGACAAATGCTTCGTGAGGCCTCTTTAGTAAGGAATGAACAGGGAGGACATTGTTTACCCTCCTAGATTGACCACCAATGAAGTGGTCAAACTGGCCTCAGAGTTCAGATCCTGGTTCCACCACTTCATCATAGACGGATGTTGGGCTGGTCATTTCTTTGCACTTTCTTCATCTTTTGGTTGAATAATTCATCCTAGATAGACTGATACTTTTTCCCAGGCAACAAGTCAGATCTAAGAAAACCCTACTCATCTGTGAGACAGTATAAAAAATAGCAAAGACCACGTGGGAACAGCCACTTCTGACCTCTACCAACTCTACAATGGGGAACTGTCCCTTTCGACAGCACCCATAGCACAAAACCAATTTCCGTGAGGTCGAACAAGTCCCTCACACTCCCACACCTCTTCCTACTGATCCCAGCAGCAATCTTACTGCACTACTGGGTCAGAAATCTGTTGCAGCAAGACTAGCCAGTCCTCTTGTGGCCAGGCTAATACATCGTATTCTCATATTCCCTCCCATCCACTGTCTAGAGAAGTAATTTTTAATAACAAACCCTTAACACCACAGATGGGGATAGTATTTCCTACCACAGCATTATTATGAAAGCTAGAAAGAAGATACGTGAAGGCACCTTAGTGCAGTTGGATTCCACAATAGTAAATTGTAGTAATTACTCATGTAAAATGAAGGGAGAATCATTAAAGGGGATAAATAATGTACCCAATAGATACTATCTGGACAGATAGACTTGATTCTCTTGGGGCCCCTGTAATCAGAACCTGGAGAGCTTTCTGTTAATTCTTCTTGATGGTTTTAATCAGCTATCCCTCTGGAAACATCGCCATGTGTCAAATCCCCACATGCTGCCGAGAAAAACCCATCACTTGGCTTTTTGATGATGCACCAAACTTCTCCTTCCTGGCCCTGTTCAACGCTAAAGGCCAGGGCTGGGTTCAGTACAACGGAAAGGTCTGGTGAGTGGGTTGTGGGAACCCTGGTCCATGGAAATATCTCTGGGGGTGACAGAAGATGACACAAGGAGAGAACTAATAATGTTTGAAGAAAGTAAGGGTTGTGAAGTGTCCCAAAATGTAGTAGGACAGAGAGGCTGGACTGAGGCAGAGCCTGCAGGGTGATAGACACTTGGAAACAACTAGATCCATGTGAGAAAGAGTGACAACTCTCTAAGCCCTACCCACTTGGTGGCATCATCCAATGCTGGAAGATATAATAAAAATCTTAACTGTTGTTTAGATTCAGGTAAGAATTCTTTCACATAGAAATGCTCTATACCAGGAGTAAGTTAAGGACACTACTGTGCAGCCTTTTAGGGAAGTTTTGGTGGTGTAGTCCACAGAGTGTTACTGCTAAACAAAGTTGCATCTCTCCAGTGGAGAAGAATGAGCAGTCTCTTCCCTACAGAGTCCTCCAGAAGCATCAGATATGAAGGGGTCTTATGCCATACCAGACTGGGAAGTGAAGCAACCTACTAGACTCTAGTCTGGGACAAATTGTCAGAGTCCTGCTTGTAGAGGCGTTAACTCTCTTCCATGGCCGTGGAGTAACCCTTCACTTCTGTGTCCACCCTAGCTGTCCATTTGTCTTGGTGTTGGATGAGGAAGGTGGGACCACCAGTGACAAGAAGGGCTACGTAGTCCACAAGTGGAGCTGGATTTCTAAGACAGAGACGTTGCTCTCACTGAAATACAAGGTAAGTGTAAGCAGCACAGATGTGCATCAGGGAGTACCCCAACCATAAGGTAAGCCTTGATAGCACTCTCAGGAATGCCCAGCATTAAGAGGAACAAGGCTACCTATAAGATAGGGCCCTGCCCTCAAGGAGCTCACAGTGTCATTCAGAGCTTCTCAAGCTGATGGGTGGTTGGACCGGCTAAAGTGGAATTTTCAACAGCCTTTAACAACTATTAGCATCTTTGCTGTTTTCCTATTTTCTTAAAAGAGCCCGGGTGGTATGATGTGTAACACACTAGGATTCTAACTAAAGGACCAGCAGTTAAAATCTACCAGTTACTCCATGGGGAAAAGATGGACAGTCTTCTAGTAAAGCTTTCATCCTTAATAGTTTAGGTGATTATTTTCTCTTGAATGCCTATATATGGCAATGGTAAGTTTGTCTAGTCATTCATCAAAGATTTGCTAAATAACAATTTAATGTTGAAGTATCACTGATATTAAAGAATAACTCACAATGTTTAATTTATTAGCAAATTAACTGAATGTGCCCATCATTTTATTAAGAGCAGAGTTTTTCAAGCTTGACATGATGGTATTTTAAGCAGTTCTTTCTGGTGGAGGCTATCCCATGCACTGTAGGATATTTTTCAGCATCCTTAGCCTCTAAGTGCTAGTAGTGTGTACGCTACACTTCTAACAGCTGAAGATATTTCCAGGTGTCGTCAAATGTTCCCTGGGAGGGGGGTGGCAAAATAACACCTGATTGAGAACCATGAATCTAGAAGATAGAAAGATTAACAAGACTAAGGAACTCAAGAATCTGTTGTTATTGTTGTTGTTAGGTGCCGTCGAGTCGCTTGCAACTCATAGCGACCCTTTGTACAACAGCCTTAAACTCTGCTCTGTCCTGTGCCAATTTCATTGTCTCCGACACACTCATCCCGATTGCTCCAGTCACTGAATCAATCCACCTCATAGAGGGCCTTCCTCTCCTGCACTGTCCCTCCACCCTCCCAACTGGTCCCTCCTTACAACATGACCAAAGTATGTCAGACGAAGCCTCAGAATCCTTGCCTCCAAGAAGCAGGAATCTAGTGAAGTAATTAAAACAAAGAGTGGTTAAAGATAACATGTGAGAGAAGTGCAAGCTCAGAGAAAGATGACAGAACATAGAATTTACTCAAGGTGGTCTCAGATTACAGGCCCCATGGTGAGGGTTACCAATAGGAGAGCTCTTAGAGTGTATGAAGGGACTCCAGCACCCTAGCCCTAACCCCCTCGATCTTCTCCTTACTATCCAACCTGTACAGTGGTCACTGGGTTTTCTTCTCAAATCCTGCTTTCTTTAGATTACATCTCTCTGAGAAACCTCCAACCCCTTGAGCCTCCCTCACCTTTACCATTCCTTGCCCTGAAATCCATCCCTTTTTTACCTCTGCCAATCCAAATTTGCCTCCTTCAAAGCCTTCCTCAGACCTCACCTCTTTCACGGTACCTCGGTCCACATGATTTCCCTCTTCTTACAATGCCACCAATTGCCCACTGACTCAATCTACAGTTAATCATGCGAGGATGAGATCCTTAGCTCTGCCTTGCATTTTGGAATCACCCACAGGACTTAAAAAAAATACCAATATCTATGTCTTTTCACCATTTTCTTGTCAAGTAATCAGTCTTTTTCTTATGGAGCTATGAAGTAGTCTGTAAACTTTAGTTATGAGTCCCTTTTCTGAGATTTCATTACCAAATGAGGTTTTTCCCCCAGTCTGTGGACTTGCTAATCACAATATTGGGGAAAGATTTTGATACACAGTATCATTGTATTGTATTGTATTGTATTGTATTGTATTGTATTGTATTGTATTGTATTGTATTGTATTTTTTTAGAAGGTCCCATTCATTGATTTTATCCTCTCCTGGTTCTGCATTTTTGGCTGTATTTGAAAGCCTTTTCATGTTGTAGGCTGGGGCTTCTAAGTTTGTACCCATTTTGTCTTTTATTGTCCTTGTGGTTTTACCCCTAGGTCTCTGATCCACCTTGAGTTGAATTTTGTATATGATGTGACATGTGAATCCTTGTTTCAGTTCGAGAGAGCGCAGTTGGACTAGTGATGCTACCAAGCCAAAGGTGGGTGGTTTTAGTCTGCCCTCAGGCCTGGTTTTAATTGTTTTTGATCAAACATTCTTCTAAGTGGTATAGCACTGGTCTGTCCATTTGCTGTATAGCGGTAACTCATATTTACTGTGATACTGAACACTGTGACACTGATGTGTCAAATGTGATAATGGTTACCCATGGTGGACAGTGTTTGGTGGAGCTCCCTGTTTAAAACAAGCTTAGAAGCAGGAGTGGCATCCACTTCCAAAATAACTTGCCACCGGAAAGTCTATAAACTTGGAGAAATGAGGAAAGTTATAAAAAGTGTTCTGGTCTTTCATTCATAGGGTTGCTATGAGTCGTCTATGATTTGACAGCACTTAAAAACAACAACAATGTCCAGTTTTGCCAGCATCATTTGTTGAAGAGATTGTAATATACCCATGTAACAGGTTTTGTATTCTTGTCATATATCAATTGACTGTAGGTAAATGGGTTTATTTCTGAGTTCTCAGTTCTAGTCCATTGATCTGTGTGTCTGAGGTTGTAGCAATACCCTATTTTTTTGTTGTTATTGTTACAACTGCTATGTATTGCCACTTGTGTTTTTAATTCCTACAGCTTAAGAAACTCTGAGTTCAGCCCTTTTGATTTTCTGACACCAGTTCTTTGTTCATTTCATTATATCTTGCTCTGTCATTTCAAGCTGCTCTTTGAAACTTTCTGTTCAGCTCTTTAATTTCTTGATTTCTTCCTTTAGCTTTGGCTTCTTAGCACTCCAATGCAAAATTCAGAGTCTCATCTGACATCCATCTTGGTCTTTTCTTCCTCTTCAGCCTTTGTGATGATCTTTTGCCTCCTTCATGGACGATATTCTTGATATCCTCCCACAGTTCATTTGGTCTATGTTCATTAGTGCTCAAGGCCTCCAACCTGTTCCTGAGATGTTTGGAAATGCGAGTGGGATAGACGTAAGGTCAAATTTTGGTTCCCATGGATATGATTTAATTTTCTTCAGCTTGAGCTTGAACTTGCATATGAGTAGTTAGTGTTCTGTCCCACAATCAGCAACTGGCCTGGTTTTCACAGCTGATAATGCACTTCTCCAGAGATTCTTTCCACAAATATTATTGGTTTGATTCCTATGCATACCCTCAGGTGAAATCCATGTGTATAGCCTGTGTCAGAATTGGTGGAAGATTCATCAACAACCTGCGTTATGCAGATGACACAACCCTGCTTGCTGAAACTGAGGAGGATCTGAAGTGCTTGCTGCAGAAGGTCAAGGACTCCAGCCTTCAATACAGATTGAAGCTCAACCTCAAGAAAACAAAGATTCTCACCACTGGACCAATTGGCAGCATCAGTATGGATGGTGAAGAGATTGACATTGTTAACAGTTTCAGTTTATTTGACTCCACAGTCAACACTCTTGGTACCAGCAGCCAAGAAATCAAGAGACAAATTGCATTGGGAAAGTCAGCTGTCAGGGACCTCTCCAAAGTACTGAAGAGCAACAACATCAGGCTGGAGACTAAAGTGCGCCTGATCCAGGCTATAGTCTTCTCAATTGCATGCTATGCATCGGAGAGCTGAACAGTGACTAGATGATAGAAAGAGAATTGGTGCCTTTGAGCTGTGGTGCTGGAGAAGAGTATTCAATATATCATGGACTGCTAGGAGCACAAACAGGTTGGTCCTAGAGAGAGTAAGACCAGGCTGCTCCATACTTTTAAAGGCTTCCAGTTGGAACTAAAGGTGACCTCTTTAAAAGTTCACAAGTGCTTCTTGTGAAAGAAAGGTGAAGCCTGAGGAATGCTGATTGCAAGTTAAGGAGTTGCATTGGATAAGGTAATAGCCCTGACGTCCTAGAGGCTGCAGTGGCTGATCATTTGTTTGTTTGGAGGGGTTTTGTGTTTGTTGAGGTTTTTTTGACTCACATATTTACTATCTCTAGTGTTCTTAATTCCACTCTGAAAACCAAATTTCTCTCTGAATTCCATAACATTATAGAGATAATGCATATAATAAATGTTAGACATTTTCATTGATTGTTTTATTGGAGGTTTTTTATGAACCGCACAAGCACCCTTCAAGTTAGTTTCCTGTATGTGTTGTGCATATTACATGTGTATGCACATTATTTACATGGGTGCATTATATGCAAAATATCGTCATTTTCTTTCAATCTAAAGACTTTTCTTTAACATGTATTGAAGTGCAGATTTTCTAATAACAAATTCTTTTCATGTGGAAAATGTCTTTTTCTCTTTTTTAAAATATGTTTTTACTGTATATGGGGTTCCTTAGTTGGCAGCTTTGTTTACTTTTCCCCCTCACAGCATGTTAAAGATGCTGTTTCTCTGTATTTTATCCTTCATAGTTTATGTTGCAAAATCTGGGAATATTAAGTTTATTCCTGATCTTCTCTAGCTGCTTTCAAAATTTTTCTCTTGTCTTTGGTTTTCTACATTTGGCTATAATGTGTCCAAGTGTGACTGTCTAATTCATCTCTCTGGGGTTTAGTGAGCACCTTGACTCTGTAAATGCAAATGATTACCTGAAAATGATTTTTACTTAATCTAGGAAATCTGTTAATTTTTTTTTTCCTTCACATTTTTGTGGCTTATTTAGCAAAAATAAAACATGCAAGCAAGCATGCTGTCCATTCATTGTACAGTCTGTTACTGGTATTGGTGGCTCTAATGGGCAGCTGGGCTGCTTTTTACACAATGGCTTTGTGTTCTTGGAGGAAGTATTGTACACAATCTCAGCCCAGTAAAATGTATCGCACAGCAGCAGCACCTCCAGCTCCTTGACATTGTGCACTAGGAATTTGCGGAAGCCACTTGGCCACATATACTTTGTCTTCTTGTTGTTCCTGTAATAATGTTGGGCATCAAGATCTGGCCCTTAAATCTCCTCTGAACCTTGTTGATGCTTCTGGGATTGCACTAATTATACTTAATTGTAACATAATGATCTGATTGTCAAGATGAACTTTTTTGTTCTCTTTTTGACCCTGTCCTCACCAGGGGTCTGAGAGCCTCCATTATGCCTTCAAGAAAGTGTGTTAAAAGCCTCTTAGAAGGTGGCTTACCTGAGCAGGTCCTGAATACTGTTGCAGAGTGTCTTCCAGTCACCAACTACTGAACCACCTGGGAATGGAACGGGTCTCTTGACAGGCTTGCTTTCCCTCCATTGCCTGAAGCTGGGAGAATACTAGCCATTCTCCGTTCTGTGATTATTGTAGATTCTTTTCCTGCCTCTCCTGTTCTCTCTTTTGTTTTCTTCAAGACTTCAGTAATATGTTTTAGGCTTTTTTGGTATTATTCCAAAGGCCCCTGAAATTCAGTTCTTTTTGCAAAACTTTAATCATTAATTTCTTTTGGTCTGTGTTCAATTTCATAGATTTTCTTATGTCATCTCCATTCTGCTGTTATTCCTATCCTATGAATTTTTTATTTCAGAGACTGTATATTGTTTTTGAGATCTGGAAATTCAATTTTAGTTCTTTTTTACTGTCTGCTTATCTGTGTACATTTTCTTTTTTTTCCACTCATTATAAGTATTCTTTTCTATATTTCATTGAATATCATTATATTACCTTCTTTGTAGGATAATTCTAATAATCTCATCATATCTGAAAGAGTTGATTTCTATTGATGATCTATGATCTTGACAAAGTGCTAGACTTTAATTTACAATTCATGTACTCTTGAATTGTATCTAGGACACTGTGAAGTTCTATCATGGAGATTCTAAATTCTGTTTATTTCTCTGAAGAGTGTTGAATATTTTAATTGCTTTTTAACTTGGTTTGTCTCCACCCATGAACTCTGTCTCATCTACAGTGGGCAGAAACTCAGATCTGAGTTCTCTTTTTCTGTTTGTGTGTTTTGCCTTAGTTATAGCTGTTTTGAGTCTTCGCTGTGTGAGTTCACATATTGGCCAAAGACTTGTGCCCTTTACACACAGAATTTGGGGCTCAGATTCTGTGAATCTGCACACTCTTTAATTTTTTTTCTTACTATTCCTCTAGCTGTAATTGCACTGGTTCTGACTTCTGGTTTTTCAGACCAGAAAGATAGTGGGTTTTCCATGGGCTTTGGTCTTGACTGTGTTTACTACCTCTTGTTTTAAAGATCCGACTTCCCTCCAAAATCAGCATTTTGTTTATAGGTGGTTGTGAGGGTTTTATTTTTTATTATATTGGGCTTATTGTCCCTTTGTTAGGGTCAACCTGTTGGGAGCTGAATTTTTATTCTGAAAGGAGAATGAGCTGGTAGGTCCTTAAGCCAAAGAGAAGTATGGTAGTTCAGCATTTGTGTGGAGGGTTGTCTGGAGAGGAGAAAGAGACAGTGGAAGAGCTCATGGAGAGGCTAGTTGTGGGTCTATTGCCAGACGGACATGATTAAGAGTGGTGATGATGTTGTTGATTGCCTTTGAGTCGAGCATGGCTTATAGCAACCCTATGAACAAAAGGCCTGTTGCCTCTCTACAACTATCGACATTTAGCAAAGTTCATAGAGTTTCTGGAGGCATGTTATTTAGGAAGTGGATGCTACTTCTGCTTCCAAACCTTTCACAGTATGTTGTTATTTTTATGTACTGTTGAGTCACCTGTAATGTATAACAACCCTATGTATAGCAGTTCTGAACCCTTCCCTATCCTGAGCCAGTCTCACTAACTCTGACACACCCCAGTTACTGTATCAATCCATCTCATCAGAGTCTTCCTCTCCTGCATTGTCCCTCCACCCTTCTGAGCATGATGTCCTCCTCCAAGGACTAATCTCTCCTGGCCCAAAGTAAGTGAGGTGGAGCTTCAAAATCCTATCCTCCAAAGAGAGACTTGGTTTCACTCTCTCCAAGACAAACCTATTTGTTTACGTGGCAGTCCATAGTATGTTCAAGACTCTTCTCCAGCATTGTCCAACTCTCCGAAGCATAGCAAGTAATTGAGAATACCATGAGTGGTGATAGAAAAAAAAATGGAGACAACATTACAAACTAATTCAACAGAGTTTAATTGTGGGTGATAAATGGGAGAGGAGGAATATAGAAATAACTTCTCAGTCCCCAAACTGTGTGTCTGTTTTGGTGATGGTGATGGTCCCATCGATAGAAATATTTGTCAGGAAAGAAGAGGATCAACATAGGATATGGTGTTAGAGATGCTGTTTGGGTTCAATTGTCATACCTCTCCGAGCTGTTACAACATAGATCCTAACTTTGAATGTGGGATTATGGAAGGCAGAAAGAAAGAAACATTTCCATCAGCAATGCATAATTTCCACATATGTGTAGGCTCTTGAATGGTGCCATAGTGTAGAAATACTTCACTGTACACATAAACTATCCAGGGATCTTAAATCTAAGTCATCCTGCCCTATGTTGACTACAGTTCTTGATGTTTGATATGAACCTTTATCAAACAAAATCACTTCCATAACCTTTATGTCATTGCTCTAGTCTTTCAACAGTTTATTGTTGAGGAATTTTAACTTCTGAGAGGCTAAACAGCTTGCTGTTAATAACCAGAGTCGGGACTTGCCCCTCTACCACTGACTTCTCCGTAAGAAGTGAGTTGATAGAAGGGCAACGTACTCCCTGTGTTTCTGCCTTGGATTCACTCTCTTACTCCCTACCATCGAGTCAGACAATTCTTACAAGCCCTCCATTGGGTTTTTGAGGCTGCAAATCTTAGTGAGAAGCAGCAGCCCATCTGTCTTCCACCAAAGCACTGGTAGGTTTGAATTGCTAGAGATACAAGGCCTTTTGGTTAGCAGCACAACACACTATGGACGACACCACCAGAGCCCCGTTAGAATGAAAATGTAGAATTTTTTTGCCCCTATCCCATTAGTTTTGGCTGCTTCCTCAGGAAAAGAGTAGATAAAGGTATTAGATATGTGCAGCTCAGTGACTTTGGGACACTTTTACAATCTTTTCTCTCACTTCAAACAAGGTACCCTCTGATGTTCCTTGCCATGGGTCTGTTTCCAATAAACTTATAAGACCTAATGTCTGGATACATACTAATTCTGAGGCAGAATATTAGTTTGCTATCCACCCTGTATTCTCTACTTAAGCTTGACTAGAAAATAACCTACTGGCTGAGGTTCTAGACTTAGGAAGGAAAGTGAAGAAACAGATAAGGAGACAACAGTTACAGTACCTGCTAATCTACCAAAGTTGTTGTTGAGAACTGTTGAGTCAGACTGACACATCATTGACCTTTCAGCGAGTTTTCAGAAGCAGTCAGTTGGAAGGGAGAAGATTATCCACCTTTCACTCACTGAGCAGCTGATGGATTCGAACCACACAGCTTTGGATTAGCAATGCAATTCCTTACAACCCGGCTACCAGAACTCCTTAATCAACCAAAGAGAGACTGGAATTCTGTCTTTTCCATGACAACTAAATTCTGACCTAAGAACTGGGAAGCTTTTACAAATTCTTCACCCTTAACTGAAGAGGGTCAGGAAGGGGTAGTTGGTACAATAGAAGCTGGAGTCCTGTGATCACTTGTTCCTTTTCCTGCAGGTGAATAAGCAAATGGAGTTGACGGTGCTGGGGCAGGACTCCATGACTGTCACCTTTACCTCCCTGAATGAGACAGTAACACTCTCAGTATCAGCCCACGATTGTCCTCATGGAGTTATGCTCAAAAACCGGGTAAGGCAAAGCTGAGTAGCACCCAGTGATGACTGCAAGGCTTCTTAGCGTGGGCCACCTCCTACCTCAAGGATTTTGTTCATACTGTTCTTTCTGAATAAAGATCCTATCTCTTTCTCTGCCTAATGGACTCCTTTCTAGTCATTATTTATGTCTGACCGTATGGTGAGCTTCTCTGTGAAACTTCTCATATCTTTTAGGAATCTTTCACTTGTAAGTGGCATGCAAAAGGGTGTAAGCATAAAAAGAAAATATACTGGCTCAGCACTCAAAAAGCCTGCAAATATCTAGCCTCAGGTATGGTTAGATACAAGAAATCTGAAATGATTCCATAGATCTTTCCATCTCCTGACTCAGTTTTCCTCTAGATTCATTGTCACTAAATGTCTATCCTTATGGTGACCAGATGCTCATGAGTACATCTGGGCTGCTATTCTATTGCACGATTCAGTTTTTATCTCCCCAGGAACAGGAGGACTTCTTTTTCCTCAGTGCTTCAGTGTAAGTCACTAAGTTTATTGAGTTCCCACAGAGGAAGCATTCACTATGGTCAGGGCATTTGTTCTACTAGATAAGGTTCTGTTACCAAGACAAAGAGAAATTATTTGGGGCAGGATAACTGCCAAAACATGTTGGCAACCTCTCCCCAGCATTTCCTGTCCTCCCCGCCCCCCCTCAGTTAGAATGCCTCTGTTCTTTTGGTGAGTTCTCCAGCAATGACATACTTCCATTCTAGCACCCCTTGATTTCATGATATTTTCCAGCAAACTGAAGAACCCCTATGAATCTCATTCCACTGTTTCTCCAGAGTCAATCAAGCACCTAACTGTTGTTAGGTGCCGTCAAGTTGGTTCTAACAGTGACCCAATGACAGCAGAGTAAACAGTGCCTGTCCTCACAATCTCTGTCCTCTACTCTGTCTTCATAATCTCCTCTGTGCTTACCATCATTGTGTCAGTCCAACTCCTTGTGGGCTTCCTCTCCTTCATTACTTTCTGTTGTTGTTGTTATGTGCCATCGAGTCGTTTGCGACTCATAGTGACCCTATGTACAAGAGCTCTAAACACTGTTTTATCCTGTGCCAACCTAGCCATCTCAAACACACTTATTCCCACCGCTTCAGTTACGGAATCAATCCATCTCATCGAAGGTCTTCCTCTCCTTTGCCGCCCCTGCACTCTGACAAACATGATGTCCCTCTCCAAGGACCAGTCCCTCCTTGCAACATGCCCAAAGTACGTCAGACAAAGCTTCAGAATCTCTGACTCCAAAGAGCATTCTGGCTTCACCTTCTCCAGGACAAACCTGTTTGTTCTAGCAGACCATGGTATATTCAACACTCTTCTCCAGCACCACAGCTCAAAGGCATCAATTCTCTTTCTGTCATACCTATTCACTGTCCAACTCTCTGATGCATAGCACGTAATTGCTTTCTACTTTACAAAAAAAGACTGGTCTTTCTCCATTGATTAGTTCCTATTGATTACATACCCAAAGTGTGTGACAAAGTCTCATCATCTTCACCTCTTAAGGTGCATTCTGACTGCATTTCATCCAAGAGAGAAGAAATATTTTCATTGCTATTCTATCACTCTTCCTGGTGTCAGGTGTTGCCAATGCCTTTGGTGCAGCCTGGACGCCTTCCTTCAGTTCTATTGGGTCTTCATCATCTGCGACCACCTGAAATTATGGAACATTGACAAATTCTCTTCAGTGCAGTGACTCTGTATATTTTTTCTATCTGACTTTGATAATTTCTGCATCATTCAGCACTTTTTGCTCATAGAACTCTTTAGTATTGCAACTTGAGGCTTGAATTTTTTTCTTTAGATCTTTCAGCTTGCCAGATATTGAATATTTTTCTTTTCATGTTTTCTAACTCTTAAGTATTTGCACATTTCCATATAAATCATTGCCTTGTCATTTTGACCTACCTACCCTTTGAAATCTTCTGTTAAGTTCTTTTACTCATAATTTCTTCTATTTGCTTTAGTTTCTTCATGTTTTAGAGCAAGTTTCAGAATTTCTTCTGATGACATTTTGGCCTTTTTCTAAAAAAGAAAATATTTTATACTGGTTTCCTTAGAAAGTTCATATACATTGTTTTTCACACTGCATCTTTCCTGTTTCCTTTACCCATCCCTCCCTCTGCCCATCAAATTTTGTGACCCTATGACTACTGACCCCTCTGCCCATCTTCACCCCTCTACTCTCACCCTCTGCAACTAATATCCTCATACATTTTTTACTAGTTATCTGTTTCTACAATATTGGTGGGGTTTTTGTAATACTGATTTTTAACAAAGTTCAAATACATTGCTTTTCACACTGGTTCTCTCCAATTTCCTTCACACACACCCCCCCCATCAAATTGTGAGACCTTATGATTACCAACACCCCCCACCCAGCACCTATCCTCACCCCTCTAGCTCCACCTTCCCCCGACCCCCTTGGATCCTCATACTCATTCTACAATAGTTGTTTTTAAGTATTTGTCCTTATGGGACTGAGTTAGTTCACTCAGCATAATGCTCTCCAGTCCCTCCCAAGTTAAGTCGTAATTTAACAAAATGATTGCTCCTGCGTGCTACATAGTATGCCATTGTGTGAATGTACCACAATTTCTCAATCCATTCAATTATGGTTGGACATCAAGACTGTTTTCATATTCTTGCCATGGTGAATAATGCTGCTATGAACAGTGGTGTCATTTGAGTGTCAGTTCTCATTTTCTTGGTGTATATTCCAAGCAGTGGAATGCGTGGGTTATATGGTATTTCTATGTTCAACTTTCTGAGAAAACACCAACTACCTTCCAGAGTGGTTTTACCATTTTCCAGTCCCACCAACAATGTATAATGTATCTCACCACAACCTCTCCAACATTTATGACTTGCTGTCCTATTAAACTTTGCCATGGCTACTGGAGTGAGGTGGTATCTCATTGTAGTTTTAATCTGCATCTCTCTTATTGGTAGTGATTTTGAGCATTTCTTCATGTTTCTTGTGGCCATTCAAAAGAGTAAGCTCTCTGAAAATCCTTTTTATGTCTTTTACCCATTTTGTAATTGAGTTATCAGTCTTTTTCATGTGGAGGCCCAGGAATATTCTTTAACTTTTGTTATGAGAATCTTGTCTGAGGTGATATTGTCAAATGTTTGTTCCCAGTCAGTAGGTTTTCTTTTTACCTTCTTGGGAAAAGTTTTTACTGAACACAGGGATTTAATCTTAAGAGGGCCCATTTATCAATTTTATTCTCTTCAGATTATGCCTGTCTGCTATATTTGGCGGTCTCTTGATACTGTAGTGTATAAAGTGGGGCAGCAAGGTTTCCAGGCAGTGGAGGTAGCAGTCTAGTGCTCTGGGAGGGATTATGGTTTGGGCACACTGAAACTGGAGCCTTTCAACCTGGCAGGCAGTGATCCTCCTGTTGCTGGCCAGGGTGTAAGCATGCCTGGGCTGGGCTGCATCCTTTAGAAGACCCCGGGGAAGTGGTGGCTTAAAGAAGGTCTGGGCCCAGCCATGACACACAGGCCTTGGCATCTTGCCGCACAGGGATGGTAAGGTCCCCAACAATGAGCTCATCCCTGCAGTCTCAATCTTCCACCATCTTCTTTTGATGCTTCCTGGATCATTCAAGATTTTTCCCAAAGCATCACTCAGTATTGCAACTCAAAGCTTGAATTTGGCTTTGTGGCTCTTTCAGCTTGAGAAACACTGAATGAGTTCTTCCTTTTTATTCTCTGACTCCAGTGCTTTGCACATTAAGTTATAATATTTTATAACTTTTATATTATGACTTTATTTTATAGCTTTGTGTTCTTGATCTGGTGTTTGAAATCTTCTGTTCAGGTCTTTTATATTGACATCTCCTCCCTTTGTTTTTACTTATTGATTCTGTAATACAACTTTTAGAGTCTCTTCTGACATCATTTTGGTTTTTTCTTTCTCCTTTATCTTTGTAATGACTTTTTTATCTCATCATGCATGATATCCTTGATGTCATCCCACAGCTCTTCTGGTCTTTGATCTTTGGTGTTTAATGTTTCAAACATGTTCTTGAGCTGATTCTTATTCAGGTGGGTTAGACTCAAGGTTGTATTTTGGTTCTTATTGTTGTATTTTGGTTCTTGTGGACTTGTTTCCTAGTTCTTCAGTTTCCATTTTAATTCACACATGAGTAATTGCTGGTTTGTTTCACAGTCAGCTGCTGCCCTTATTTTAAATTCAGATATTGAGTTTCTCCAGTGATTCTTTGCACAGATGTAACCAGTCTGAATCCAGAGTCCACCAAGTGAAGTCCATGTGTATAGTTGCCATTTGTGTTTTTTGTAAATCATATTTGTGATGAGTAAATCTTTGAATGTGCAAAATTCAGTCATTTGATCTCTAGTCTCATTGTCACTAACTCCATAATTTTCCAATATCATTCCTTCTTCTGTGTCTCCAACTTCTGCATTCCAGTCATCACTTATTATGAAGGCATCTTGATTGTCTGGCCAATTTCAGATTACAAAATTATATTACACTATATCCACATATACAGATGTTGTGGGACACGATTCAGATCATAGCTAAGAAAAAGACCTGGCCTCTGCTTTCTGGGAGCTTATAGTCTAGAGGTAAGGGCAGGTTCATATGCAATTAAATGCTTGTATCTTCAAACTTCAGAAAGAGGATTATGAGAGTCTTAGGCTAGGGGACTTTCCAAGATAGGGTAGTATGCATCCCCTTAGTAACACTATGCAGAGGGCTGAGGCAAAAAGAAATGCTTTCCACAAGGAACATCATGTGTTCCAAACCAGGGCAACTCCTGCTGTTTGCTGGGTGAAGCAGATTACTTCTTGAAGTTAAGTTACAACTGCTTTTCCCTTTTCTCTCAATGCAGTTGACCACCAGAATCAACTGCCTCGATGAAAACCTGTCTAAAAAGAACCGAGCCCTAGCTGAGATCAAGAAGCGATTTCAGAAGACAATAAGACAGTTTATAAATTCCATCTTACTGTCAGCAGGTAAAGAGATCCAAAAAGTGGGTCATCTGCAGGTTTTCTCATAGGATAGATCTCTCCAATTCCCAATGATGGTTTGACTTGAATCTGAGCTTCCATCAAGGTGAGTAAGGCAGTGAGGATTGTGTGCACAGGGAATTAGACTGTCACATCACAGTAGTGATTAACTTTGCCAACTTTAACTTCTGAGCTCTCTCGTTGTGTCTGTTTATATCTCTGCTTTATTTTTCTCCCTCATATTGGCTGCTGAGTTTTGTTTAGCAGTACAGTATGTAACCAACTGCACCCCCAGGGCTCATGGGCTCACTTTCACTAGTTGTAGATATTCATTTGACTATTCCCCCTACATTCCTTTTCTGGTTCATCCCTCTGTGTACAGCAGCTAGCATCCAGTAATTGTTTGGTTAGGTAGATAAAAGAAATAATTCCTGACCTCAGAAATCTTCTAAACTATCAGATAAAACAAGACAAAATACACATAACACAGCAAAGGAAATGACAGTAACTTAAATCTGTCACTGTGAGAAGGGGATTCTCCAGGACTTGAGGGGCATGGACCAGGAATGCTTGCTGAAGGAGTTTCCTTCTGCCAGGATGCAATAGAGGAACAAAGTCAAATGAAACCAGGCCTGGAGACTGAGGAGTTGGGATTATTTTTTAGATCCAATCATCATTCACTGACCAAAACCATACTAGAGTTTTAATATTATCTGATGCAGTGCTGAAAGTAGAGCTCCTGAGGCTGTTGTTGTTGTGTGTTGTTGAGCCAGAATTGACTCTTAACTGATCCACGAGAGGATTTTCAAAGGTAGTAAACTGCATGGGAGGAGATTGCCCATCTTTCTCCTGCAAAACAGCTATGAGATTCAATCCACACACCTTTGTGTTGGTAGCACAATTCCTTACCACTGAGCCACCAGGACTCAAAATGCATAGTGACAGCAGGAAGAGTTTCAAGCACATCAACAGTAAAGATGGCAGAAACTAGGCTATATTTTGTTGTGTTGTTCATATCAAATCTACTCTAGGGCTACTGAAAACAGTAATATCTGTACAGAGGCATGGAACACAGGATTAGACAAAGAGGGGAGGAATCTTCAGCAGGAGACTAGGAGTCTTGTAAAAGTGGATGTGGGCTCCAGAACCTTAGAGCAGAGGCAGGGGAGGCCAGAGAAGTTGGCAGAGATAAGGAAGGTCAGGAAGGGACTTACAGCAGTGTCTTTGTTAACAGGTGTCCTCACAATAGAATATCCCATGAAAGATAAAACACAATTTGGTTGGCATAAGCCAAAATCTATGCATGGCCAGAGCACCAAGCTGAATCTATACTTGGGAGAATTCTGTGTACGACCTCACTCGGCACGACCAGAATCCTTCATTAAAGGATCTTTCAGAGAAGAAACAGTGCCTGTTCCTGTGACCCGTACTCTGAGGAAGACCCTCAAAATCCACACCAAGCCTGTGGTCACAGCCAGGTTGGTGAATTCCTTAATCTTTTCCACTTCTATGTATCAGACACTGTGATGGGTCAAAGAGTCAGAGTGGCAAAAGAGACAGAAGAGGCCCTTCCATTTAGGAGCTTAAGTTCCAAGAGAGGGGGAAAAGAAGAGATAAACACCAGAATAAGTTGTTTTAGATTACAGTAAGGATGAGGAAAGAAAGAAATCAGAGTAATAGTTTAGAGTTGTTGTTATATGGAGTTGAATTGGAACTGACTCATGGCTGGCCCTCCAGGGGTTTTTCAGAGGATGTAAATCACACAGGAGGGACTGCTCATCTTTCTTCTGTGAAACATGCTGTGGATTTGCACACCACCTGCACCTGGGCTGGCAGCTCCTTACCCACCTTGTTAGAGATTTTGTTGTTGTGTACCGTCAAGTTGAAACCCATGGTTGACTCTCCAGCAGTTTTTCAGAAGCATTTTAATCACAAAGGAAGAGACTGCCCATCCATCTTCCACAGAGCAGCTGGTGGATTAGAGTAGGGGTTGGCAAATGGTCACATGACACATGGTCCATAACAGATCCTGTTGCTTATGTTTTTATGGCCTCCAGCTAAGAATATATTTTGCATTCTCAAATTACTGCAGGGAGGAATCAAAAGAAGAACATTTCATGAGACCTGAAATTCAGATTTCACCATCCACTAATAAGGCTTCATTGGAGCACTGCTAGACTCATTCATTTGCATACTGCCTTTGACTTTGACAATGAAACACTTGAGTACCTGTGGCAGAGATCACCTGGCCTGCAAAGCCTAAAATATTTTCGAATTGATGCTTTTTAAGGACATTTTTAGAAAATGTTTACCCTTCCTAAGGCAGAGAGTATGTAGCATAGAATATGCCACTATGTAGAAGGGCCACAGCAGGAGATTTCAAGAAGATGGTATATGAAAGGAGGCTTGAAGGAAAAGGAATGAAGACTTTTTCCAAAGAACCAAATTAAAAGATCACATAGACAATGAACAACCAGTATTATTTAAAAACTTTCACTCAATTACTTTTTGGTAAATATTGCTCCAAATATTTTTCCTCTAACAGAGATATATTTACATCTAAATAAAATGTAGAATATAAAATATAGAGTAGAAATATAAATTTTAAAAAATGTGTCCCATAAAGAAAATAAAAGTTACTTTTAAAATGGGCATGGAATGAATAAAGAATAATATTTAATTTTTAAAATAATAATTATGCTTCTGATTAAATATATTTTTACTACTTTTTCTAGGATCAGAAAGAAATAAATTCTGCCATTTTTATAATTTTCTAAAAAAGAAAAAAGATCACATAAAGAAATTCATTTTACTACAGTGTGGTAACTGCTGATTGATTATTTCATTTTTTATCATTAAAAAATAAGGTACATACAGAGAAAATAAACAAATTTTAAATGTACAGTCCACTAAATTTCACAACTATTGTTACTGAGCAGACTCAGTAACAAGCAAGAAAAAGAATTTTACAGTCCTATATAGGCCACTCTTTCCCCTCAATTCTTTTCCTTCCCCAAAGGGAATATGTATCATGGTGTAGATTAGGCACTGCAAAATCACTGTACCAAAAGGAATTGAAGGGCACTGAATCATTTCAGGAAGCAGCATATGATCAAGAACTAATAGTACTGAAGGAAGAAGTTCAAGCTTCTTTGAAAACATTAGCAAAACATAAGACCCCCAAAATTTATATCATACCAATTAAGACATTAGGGGAAACAGTCGCAACCCTGGACATGCTTACCAGTCTGTGCCAACAAATATGGAAGGCAACTACCTGGCAAACTGACTGGAAGAGATCTATATTTGTTCTCATTAAAAAAAAAGGTGATACAACAAACTGGAAATTATCAAACAATATTGTTAGTATCACCTGCAAATAAAATATTTCAAAAGTGGCTGGAATGGGATATCAACAAGAACTTCTAAATATTCAAACTGGACTCAGAAGGGTTTATGGCATGAGGGCTGTCATTGCTGATGTTAGATGGATTATGGCTAAAAGCAGAGAATATCAGAATGATAAATTACTTTTGTTGATTATGCCAAGGCATTTGAATGTGTGATTTGATCATAACAAATGTTGGCTAACATTGAGAAGAATGTGAATGCCAGAACATTTAATTGTGCTTATGTGAATATTTACATAGATAAAGAAGCTATTGTCCAGACAGACCAAGAGAACACTGCATCATTTAAAATCAAGAAATGTGTCCCTCAGAATTGTATCCTTTTTCCATACTTAGTCCACTGTATGCTGAGCAAACAATTTGAGAAGTTGAACTATATAAAAAAATGCAGAATCAAGATTGGAAGAAGACTCTTCACAACCAACATTATACAGGTGACATAATGTTGATTGCAGAAAGTGAAGAAGACCTGAAGTAGTTCCTGCAAACTATAATAAGGATTCAAAAGGAAAATAAAAATCACCACTGGACCAATAGGCACCATCATGATAGCTGGAGAAGAAATTCGAGTTGTTGTCATTGATTTCATTTTATGTGGATCCACAGTCAACACCCATGGTGAACAGCAGTCAAGAAATCAAGACATGTTGTATTTGGGCAAGTCTACTGTCAAAGACCTCTCCAAGTACTAAAGAGCAAACATGTCTGTTTATAAAGACCAGGTAAAGTGTGTCTAATCCAAGCTGTGGTATTTTCAGTGGCTTACTATGCATCCAAAAGTTGGACAATGAATAAGAATGGCACAATTGATGGCTTTGAGTTGTGTCATTCATAAGTCAAGAGTGGACTAGAGCAATGGACTGCCAAAAGAACAAATAAATCTGTCTTGGAAGAAGTGAAACCAGAGTGCTCCTTAGAAACAAAAATGGTAAAACTTCAACTTAGCTACTTTGGGCATATTTTCAGGAAGGACGAGTCCTTGAAGAACAGTATAATGTTGGGAAAGATAAACAAAAGAATGGAAAACCCTCAATGAGATGGATTGGCACAGGGCCTACCACAATGGACTTGAACATGACAAAGTGTGAGGATGGTGTGAAATATGGCAAGGTTCAGGTCTGTTGTTGTTCACAGGGTTGCTAATGACTCCTAGTTGACTTGATGGCACCTAACAACAGCAACAACATACATTATTAGGCCACCAACTCATCCATCAGTTTGCTGTACTGTAATGTCTTGCATGTTGCTGTGATGCTGGAAGCTATGCCATCGTTAATTCAAATACCAATAAGGTTGCCCATGGTGGACAGGTTTCAGTGGAGCTTCCATTCTAAGGCAGACTAAGAAGCAGGACTGGCCATCCACTTCTGAAAGAGCAGGCCTTCAAAACCATTTTAATATCTAAAGAGTATTGTTTGAAAAAAAAATTTTTTCATTTAAAAAAATTTTAAAAAGAGCATTGTTTGATACAGTGCCTGAAGATGAGCACCTCAGGTTGTAAGGAACTCAAAATGTGACTGGGGACTGAGAGAGAGCTGCCTCCTCAAAGCAGAGCCCACCATAATGACTCGGATGGCATAAAGCTTTCACCCAATGCAGGACCTTCGTTTGCTCACATGACAAGACTCAACATGAGGAGAAGAAGAGGGAAGCATCCATTAATAATTGGAACATAGAATGTACACAATAAGAATCTAGGAAATCTAGAAGTTGTTATAAATGTTATAAATGTATAAATATTGACAACCAGGCATTAGACATCCAGCCGTTAGTGAACTACAGCGGACTGGTATTGGCCATTTTCAGTCAAACAATCATCTAACCTACCATGCCTGGGATGATAAACTGAAGCATGGTGTCCCACTTATCTTCAAAAAGGACATTGCAAGATCTGTCCTGAAGTACAATGTTGTGACTGATAGGATATCCATATGCATACATGGAAAATGTGTTAATGGAACTATTATCCAAATATATGCAACAACTACTAAAGGCAAAGATGGAGAAATTGCTGATCTCTCACCTTAACAGTCTGAAATGTATCAAACTTGCATTTATGATCCATTAATAATAACTGTGACTAGAATGCAAAAGTTGGAAACAAAGAATGACTGGTGTTGGAAATTATGGCCTTAATGATAAAAATTGAGGCTAGAGATGGCATGATAGAATTTTGTACAATTGCTTTTTCATTGTAAATACCCTTAAAAATGATTGGCTATACACATAGAATGTACCTAATGTACTACACATAACTTTGAGTTTTCCTACATGAATTTAAAAACTATCATGAGAATAGATTTGATGCATTAAACACTATCAAAGGCTAGATGAGTTGTGGGATGGCATCAAATACTTCATCCCAGAAGAAAGCAAAAGGATTCTTGCTACGTCAGGGAATAAAGAAGAGCAAAATGGATGTCGGCAGACACTCTGAGACCTGCACTAGAACTCAAAGAGGCCAAAACAAAGGGAAGATATGCTGAGTAAGAGAGCTGCACAGAGTATTTGAAAGGGTAGCTCAAGAAGATTAAGCAGTGTATTAGTGAAATGTTCACAGGCTAGAATAGAAAACCAAAAAGGAAGAACATGCTCAGCATTTCTCAAACTGAAAGAATTGGAGAATAAATCCAAGCCTTAAGTTGCAATACTGAAAAATTCTATGTGCAAAGGGATACTTTTCTCTCATTAGCAAGTATGATGAAGAATTTTTCATATAAACAAAATATTTATTAAAAGTTTTTTGAAGATAATTTTGGGAGATGGTGGGGGCAAACTACAGGATACACCATAACTCTTAGAACAAAGAGACTTCAAGGTTTATAAAGGGATTTACGTGGACAGTCTTCATACTTATTCCTAAAGGAAGGTGAGGATTTCTCAGAAAATGCCTGTAGGGTGAAGCTGGTTCTTCGACTTAGAATCTTTTGCAAAAGCTTCTGGGTTAAGAGACACCATTTATTACAGGATGAGGTTCTGGGACTGTAACAGTGTCCTCAGTGGTTTGTTCAAAATAGGTCACCTTGGATTATAAGCAGTGCTTCTGCACATGCTCCAGAAAATTGGTTGAAACTCGTTGCTCTGGAGACACTTTTTAAGGGGAAAAACAACAGATTCAGACACATGACCAACTGATTAGCACAGGATGTGGGGAAGATATAAGAGTTCAGTCACCTGTGTTAGAAATGTGTCCTAACAGAGAAACAAAAGACTATTGGCAAGGCAAAATTTTGCTTCTGCAGAAAGGTGCACAGCTGCACATAGCCTGACTGGCAAGCATACTAGGAGGAGAGCAGTTGGCCCAGGTTTTTATCCTTGATGCAAGACTAAGGCCGTGTTTCACTCTTATCAGTCAATGTTTCGACCTCACAATCTCACTTCTACCCAATTGACTAGTTTGGACTGTGCTTGAAGGGAAGGGGGTGTTGGAGTTGAGGAAGTTTGGAGTGTTTGGAATGTCTTCATTTCAGGGGAAATAATGAGCCAGGAACTGGTTGTGACTGGTTCACAGCAAAAATACAAGGATGGGGAGTTTCCCTAAGTAATTTCAGAATGGCATCTCATTTCAACCCAACCCCATCTTACAACTTTAAAAATAAGACACACGTATATCCTATTTCTCACACTTGTTAGGGTAGAAAATAATACCATCTTGCCAGAACTGCAGGATTTTGATAAATACATGTGTTGTTAGCAGTTTTAGCAAGAATATGTTGTTAGACTGTGAAACTGTCCTCATCTCTAATGTTATTATTAAGTACCATTGAGTACAAACCATATGAACAGCACAACTGGACCCTGTTCTATCCTGTGCCATCCTCACACTTCTTGATACACTAGAGCTCATCATTTCTGACTCTTCGTTATTTTAAATAAAGCTGCAATGGGCATGTGGGTACATAGATTTGTTTGTGTCAGAGCAAAATTTGCACAGTGTATTTTCTTAGTCCACCATCTGGCAATATTTACCATTTCTGTAGATGTGTATTCATTCCCACAATTCTAAATTTGCCTCTGAGAACATTCTTCTTCAGCCTGAAATATTTCCTTTGAGCTCTGCTGGTGATAAATTTTCTTTCTTTTCCTTAATCTGAAGATTCCAAACCAGAACTAAACTCAATGCTGTCAAGTTAGATGCAGTTCATAGAGACATTCCACCCAGTTTCTGTGATCATAATCTTACTGGAAGGAGACTTTTCACCTTTCTTCATTGGGGAAATTAATAAATACATTCAATCTGCTGACCTTTCAACTAGCAGCCCAGCACCTTATACACTCTACCACAATTGTTCTGTGCCATCATTTCTACTATGACTCATAGTTGAGAGGTTAAAAAAGGCCACAGAGAACCAAATGAAGTAAAACAAAGGAATTTATTATTAGCTCTCAGCAGATTCTGCATGCCCAGGCTGGAAGGAGGCAGTGGGAATGTGAAGTCACGTGTGAGAAAGTTACAACAAAGGTTTTATGTGGAGGGGTGGGGGTGGAATGAGAAGGGAGGTAAGTTGATCTATTCAGTGGTCATCTCTCTGTGGAGAACGTTAATTGGATGTCCCCTGCCTGTTCCGATTTATGGAGCTGCCCAGGACCCTTTAGATGGGTTGCATCACGCTGGCATTAAGCAGAACGTGTCTGGTGGTCGTGCTATCTTCTGATGCAGCATTGGAATGTTTCCCAAGGGATGCATCTGCACAGAATGCTGCCCAGCTTCCAGGTGACCTTTCAGTAGTGACTGTATGAGCACATGGGAATCATGCACTATTCTGTGCCATCCTCCCCATTTTCACCATGTTTACATCCATTGTTACAGTCACTGTGTCAGTCCATCTTGTTGGGAATCTTCCTCTTTTTCTCTGACCCTTCACCTTTCCCAGAATAATGTCTTCATCTCACATGCTTTGGGCATTTTATCAGGATGAGCCTTTCCTTGGAAAAAGACTATATAACTGGGGCTCCTTAATCTGAAAATGGATGTCTTTATTTTGCCTTTATTCTTGAAGGATATTTTAATGTTTATAGGATTGAAATTTGACAGTGTTTTTCCTTTTTGTAAATTTTCCTTCTAACAATTTAAAGATGTTTATTTGTATTCTTTTTGGTTGCAATACATTTGTTATTGTAAGTATGGCATACTTTCAATTAAATCTGTGAGTCATGCCAATGACATAGTGAAAACAAAGAGGGAAAGGGATCCAGCCCATCAGGAAGAAAGGGTGTTTTGTAGACTCTTGGCCTGTAGCTGATATCCTGGATGGAGAGTAGGAAACCAGCCCTGACTCTACAGCCAGTAGAGCAGAAGATTGGAGCATTGTGTGAACTCTTCAAATTTACAGCTGATGTCTCCTTATTTGGCAATCTGAAAGGCTATATTATTTTAACTTCTGAGCTCTGGGTAGACAGAGTCAGAGAGGGGTTTGGGGGACAGTTAGTCTGAGTAGCTGTGCTCACCTAACTTGAGAGCTCCAAACGAGCTCCGGGTGGCTGGGACTGAAGACTGTGATTAATGAGAGTGGATAAGTGGGAAGGCGAGGACACATTGTGTAACTGATCATGCCGCCAATCCTTCCACACGGATAGCAATGAACTGAAATGTCAATTTTGCCCTATATCAGGCACATTGTCCCACCGGCACTGAAACTTTGTTCCCAGTTTGCAGGTTTTTATTTCTCTGTTCTCCAGATTGGGCCATTTTATTGCTCTACATTCCAGTGTACTGATTCTTTTATCATCTCCATTCTGCTATTGAAACAATTCAGCAGTTTGTTGTTTTGTGTGGGTTTTTTTTTTTTTTCAAATATTGTCTTTCTCATTCTAGAGCCTACTGGTCTTTTATCCAATGCACTGTATGGTAGTTTGGGTGTGGTCATGTTGATCATCTACAGCAATAGATCAAGTAAGCAACGATGTCAGTCTCAAGACTAAGGTGAGCTTAATCCACTCCCTGGTCTTTGCAATTACTTGTTATGCATCGGACAGCTGTACAGTGACTAAAGATGATAGAAGGAGAATTGATACCTTTGAGTCATGGTGCTGGAGAAGAATCTTGAACATCCCATGGACCACCAAGAAAACAAATAGGTCTGTTTTGGAGAAAGTAAAACCAAGTTTTTCCTTGAAGGCTAGGATTTTGAAGCTCTATCTCACACACTTTGGGTACATGGCCAGGAGGGACCCATCCTTGGAGAAGAACATCATGCTCAGAAGGGTGGAGGAACAGCACAGGAGAGGGAGATCTCAGATGAGATGGATTGAAACAGTGACTAGGACAATAGGGGTAGGTGAATCAGAGTCAGCGAGACTGGCTCAGGACAGGGCAGGCTTTAGAGCTGCTGTACATAGGGTCGCTATGAGTCACAGGCAACTCGATGGCACATAACAACAACAACAACAAAATTGTATTTCTCAGTTTTAAAGCTTTTTATTCTTTTTTTCTATTGTCTAAGAGTGCCTATTCATTTCTTTCATGAAGGATGATTATAATTGCTGCTTTAAAGTTACTGTTTCAGAGGTTCATATAGCTTACATTACATATAGCTTAAGGAAAGTCTGAATTCCATTATAACTTGAAATTTTATGTTGCATTTCACTTCTTTTGATCAAAATTCTTCTATAGAGTCTTTGATCAAACGTATAATGGTATTCAGGACACCATCTAGTTCTGATTTCTTGACAAAAGAGAAAGTTGTTTATGAAGGCCATCAGTCAAATATTTCTCTTCCATTGCTACCTCTCCTTCTTCTGTTGTACTAGGTAAACAGATCCTAATTTTTGTGCCTTCAAAATTTTTATGATCCCAGGTATTATGGAGCAAAATGCATTAAAGTCATGAAGTCTTCTCTCTAGTGGGAGGGAAAGATACAATCATCAAAATAAGTAAGTGTGTGAGATAGTAGCAATGGTATGGAGGTGGGGGGGGGGGAGCAAAGTTGAAGGAAAAGGTTGTTAGGGTAAAGGGAAGCAGGACAGAAAGAGAGGCCTTACTAGGGATGTGGCATTTAAACAAAGATGTAGGGAGATAAGTTGTGCGGCTGTCTAGGGGAGGGGGGAGCACACAAAGCAGAGGGAAGGGCAGAAGCAAAGACCTTGGAGTTGGACAGAAGCAAGGCAAAAACATGCTAGACAAAGGTGAGAATGTCTACAGGAGAGCAAGGCTTACCAGGGAAGAGGAAAAGGCTGAGAAGATCATGACCATCTGTAAGGACTATTTTTGAGGAACTTGAGGTTTTTTTAAAAAATCCTTTCTTTTTATTTATTATTCATTTCAATGAAAATTTACAGAGACTTTGGATTTCCATGCATTCATTGTTGCACTTTCCTCCCCTCCCAACCCTCCCCCCTAGTACACTACCCTCTTGAGCTTTTACTCTGAAAAAGATGGAAAACCATTTCTAAGAAAGGAATGACAGGGTCTGATCAGGTTTAACAGGATCCCTCTATCTTCCAGGAGGAGAGAAGATTGAAGAAGAGGCAGGGAGGAAACAGAGGACCCCTTGAGAGATAGCAGCAGGCATCTAGGCAAGGCAGGCTAGGCACCTGGAGCCCATCACCAAGGGTGAAGGGAAGGACTAGTGGCCGTTCTCCACAGGTGGAGTGGACAGGCTTGCTGACAGCTTGGAGAGGGTATAGATAAAAGAGGAGTGAAGGGTGACACTGATGTTTTCATCAACAACTTTTTCCTAGTCCCTCTTAACACCTAAGGAGGCCTGCAGGGAGATTCCTCAGGGGGATCTTCTTTGATCTGGGACAGAGGGCTAAGAGTGGGCCAGAGCCTACCCGCTGGGTACCACCCTTGTGCTGTCCTCACAGGGCGAAGACCCAAGAGATGAGGACGCACACTGAATGGCCAGCAGCCTCACCCTGCGACTGCCCACTAGTGCTGCGGAAGCTCATCTGCAAGGAGGACATCGGGACAGGCTGCAAGTGTATTTTGAAGGCACCCCTGGTGTCTGACATGGAGCTGGAACGCTTCATTCTGGCGCCCCGTGACCCCAGCCAGGTGCTGGTGTTCGGGATCATCTCGTTGCAGAACCCAGACAGAACCACCTACCTCCAGTGGCTGCTGGACACCCTTTATCGTCACCTGCAACGGGGTCGTGGCTCACCTTGTATTCAGGTGGGTCTGGACCATGGGAGTCCCAGCAGGGTATAGGCTGGTGTCGGGAGAGCTGGAAGAGTCTGGCCCCTGGAGGAGGGGCTGGCCCTCTGGCCTTGCTTCAGCTCCTCTTCTCCTTGGCCTTTGCTCCCACTCATGCTCTTGTCAGAACTTCTGTCCCTCTTTACTATCTCCCTGTCCTCCTTCCATCCCAGGGCGAGTCACCACATCAAGACAGGCACCATGTCTGTCTGACCTTGCGACATAATCAGGGTACTGCCCTTTTCTGTTGGAGTACAGGGCACATTGTATGATTATTCACAGCAGAGTGCCTGGGTGCCCGCTGTGGTCATCAGTGACGACTCTCACTCTCACCACTGGAAGGCCGGGGGACTTGCGGCCTCTGGAGACAGTGGGCTCCTTACGGAGAGATGCATGTAGGAAGGGAATGGCCCCTCAGGCAGGCATGAGATGGGACATTGCATGGGGCTTCAGGATGCAGTCAGGCACCAGGCGGGTCAAGAGTCAATCCTTGTGGCATGATGCTGACAGCTCTTCTGCATCAGGTGAACACTGGGGGGTTTCTGTCTTGGCAGTGCCGGCATGACCCTTACCGCCTACTGCGGTATGACCTGGACAGTCCCCTGCAGAACAAACCACCCCTGCTGGTGAAGAAGAATGCTGTGGCTCAGGGCATGGTTCTGGTGAGCTGGAGTCTATTCATTGCAAATGTGCGAGGAAAAAGGAGGAGGGGGATGCTCAGTGAGGAAGGTCCTGAGTCTGCCCCCATCCACCAGGGGCCAGAGCAGACAGGACTCAAGTGCAGCCAGCTAGCCCAGGACCTGTGGTCTGAGGCTAGCCTCCTCTCTCCTCCCTCAGCCCTACTCAGCCTCTTCTCCAAATCTGGAAAACAAAGGAACAGGAGGTGCCTAACTCAGCGGATCAAATTCTTTTCATCAGTGTTTTAAAATAAGCTTTAAACTAAAAATATGAGGCTGTATGGGTGCAAAAGTCAAGCACTCAGCTGCTAGCTGAAGATTGGCTGTTGGAACGACCCCAAGGTGACTCAGAAGAAAGGCCTGGCAATTTGCTTTGGAAAGACCCCAGCTTTGACAACCCAGTGGAGCAATTCCATTCTGTGCAAACGGGGTCAGCACAGTCGGTTTCCTCTTTTTGGTTTGGGTACAGAAAAATGGTAAAGAAGGAAAAAATGGTGTGTGCTTACTAGAAGAAGCTTGGAAAACACAATTTAGAAAATAATCCTTTTATACTGAGAAAGCGCATGTGCAAGCCCCCTGCCCAGGTCTTGTAGTTTGTTTCTTCATATATAGTTTAGGGTCCTGCATTGTTAGGTTGAGTGATATCATGAGCATTTCTTTAGGCCTTTTAAATCTTTTGTGATAGCTGATATTTCATGATGGAAAAGTGGTCTGCATCCAGTTTCTCTATTCATGCTCCCCTTGTCAGACAGTTAGGATAGTTCCCTTTTTATTTTTTAATTCAGATAGTGCTGTGATGAGTATCTTGGCGTACAAATCTTCCAACAGGTCTCTGGCTGTGCAGGATGAGGGGAGAGAGATGAGCAGGGCAGCACAGCCCTCCCTGGGGAGAGATGGGTGTGCACGGATGGGGAGGAGTACATAGCGTGAACTGGACCATGGCGGGTGGCAGAGTGGGTCCCCTGGGCAGGAATACATCACTCACACCCCACACAAGCCCTGTGGATAAAATGTGGAGCAGGGCAGTGAGGGCTGAGGGAGGGGTCTGTGCTCTGACCTGAGGGCTTGGTCAAGGACTTCAAGCTCACTGGGCTACTCAGGCTATGGGTTACCCCTTTCCAGACCTCCAAAGGCTTAAATTCCTACCCTCTTTCCCAGTCCCCTGAGCTTTCCAGAGCTCCCCTGCCTGACGATTTTCATGCTGATGTGCTGAGCCCCTCTCCTCTGTCTCTTTCCTCTGTTAACAGATGTTTATTGGAGGTAGGCTTCTTTTTGGAGGTACTGTGTTTAATGGCAATGGCTTAAGCAAGCAGAACCTTGTGAAGGAAATCTTCCAGGCTCAACATAAGTGCAATATGGGCTACTTCCTGCCATATGACTTCAAGTTCAGGTAAGAAGGGAAATACATGTGGATGAAGGATGGATAGATGGATAATGGAGAGATAGAAAGGAAACAGACCTGTAGGGAGGGTACAGGGAGAACCCTGGGACCTAAGAAGAATGCAGCAGGCGAACCAGAGACAATAGGGAGGCTTTGGCTGCAGGGCACAAGGTAGAAGCTGGTGGCAGGAGAATTTTGCAGATGGGTAGAGCAAAATGAGAACAGCCACAAAGAGGGCAAAAAAAAACTTTGGGACCCAGGCTTGGGCAAGGAGGGACCTGAGATTGTTCACACCGCTGTTTCTGTTGGAGAACAAATGGAGACAGGGTCTGATTAGGGGCCCTCACTATCCCCTGCCTCCTGCCCTGACCTTCCCAGGCTCCACTGCAGGGTACAATTCCAGTTTTTCATCTCTTCTGCATCCAGCAGGATCACATAGACCTTGCTCTTTCATGGATTGATTGCAGCCCTGGTGCAAAGAAGTGGGAGTGCAGGTTGCAGTCTACCCCAGAGAACCCCCTCAGGCTTTTCCACAAGGTGCAGCCCTTGGCTCAGCTTTGTTGAGATGTTCACAACTAGGCCTTGGCTCTGGAAACAGGCAGCTTTGTCCAGGGGATGAGCCTCCTGCTTGTGAAATGACTGAGGACTCTTTCAGGAGTCCAGATTCTAAAATGCTGGGCACCACGCTGTGTGGTACAGTGAGAATCTGAGGCAAGGGGAGGCAAGGGATAGTAAAAAAGGACTCTGGTCACCTTCAGTAACTGCCAACCACTCACTATGTCTGTGTCCCAGGCTTTTTGTTTTTAAAGTGAGAATAAGAGTCTTCGCTGTGTTGGGTTGAAGTTTCTGAGTCAATTCAATTAGGTGCTACCTCATCATTAACATTCATTGACAGTTTGCGAATTATTACAGGGCCTCTGTTGATCTAGTGGATAGAAAGGTGTGCTACCAACACTAAGATGAGCAGTTTGAATCTACTAGCCTCTCCAAGAGAAAAAGAAGGGCAATCTCGTCCCATGCAATTTTCTTGTTGTTGTTATATGACATTGAGTCACCTGTGACTCATAGCAACCCTCTGTACAGCAACTCTGAAGCCTGCCCTGTCCTGAGCCAGTCTCACTAATTCTGACACACCAGTCCCCATTACCCCAGTTACTGTATCAATCATCTCATCCAGGGACTTTCTCTCCTGCACTGTCACTCCACCCTTCTGAGTATGATGTCCGTATCCAAGGATCAGTCTCTCCTGGCCACATGCTCAAAGTATCTGAGACAAAGCATCAAAATCCTTGCCTCCAAGGAAAAACTTGGTTTCACCCTCTCCAAGACAGACCTGTTTTTTTTTAATTGGTGAAACATGGGAAGTTCAAGACTCTTCTCCAGCACCAAAATTCAAAGGCATCAATTCTTCTTCTGTCATTCTTAATCATTTTTCTGGTCTCTTATACATAGCAAGTAATTGTGAAGATCATGGCCTGGATCAGGTGCACCTTAGTCTCTAGATTGACATCATTGCTTCTCAATACTCTGGAGAGGCCCCTAATAGCAGATTTACCTAATGCAATTTGTCTTTTGATTTCCTGACTGCTGATGCTTAGAGTGTGGATTGTGGAGCCAGCTGTAATTGTTAACAACCTCTATCTCTTCTCCATCCATCATGGTGCTGCCAGTTGGCCCAGTGGTGAGGATTTTTGCCCTCTTGATATTGAGCTTCAATCCATACTGAAGACTACAATCCTTGACCTTCTGCAAGTGCTTCAGGTCCTCCTCAGTGCCTCTGAAAACTCACTGAAGGGTCAGCTATAGGCTGGTCTGACTCAACTGAATTGTGGATGAAGTATTATTATTATTATTATTATTATTATTATTATTACTAAAATAAATTCTGATCTCCAAATTTTTTATATCCAAGATGCTGAGTTAACTTAAATGTACACTTTTAATAGCTTTCAACAATTTTAAGGAATGATAGGAAAAGAATCAGAAATTGTAGAAACATACAGAGATGGTCTAGGTTTTTGAGAGTAGTAGAAAAGCAAAGATCCTTAGACTTCTAGACCATTAGAATTCATTCTAAGTGTAGCATGACAGATTGATAATTTGAAAACGAGGTTGAAAATGGAATAGACTCTCACAAGGCATCATCAGTGGTTATCAGTAAGTTGTCAACAATTTGATTCTACTTGCTCCACGGTCAACATCAATGGGAGCAAGAGACAAGAATTCCTAGAACATGGTACATTGTGAAAATCTGCTTGAAAACATATCTTTTAGATTAAAAGTGTTAAAAAGCAAAGTTGTCACTAACTGCATTGGTCAAATCCGCTGATGAGATGGATTGACAGGGTAACTGGAGTAATATGGGTCCGTGCATCAGAGACAGTAGATTGGCTCTCGATAGGGCAGGTCCAGAGCAATTGTGCATGCCTTCATTGTAAGTCACAGGTGACTCCATGGCACAGAACAACAATAACAGCAGCAGGAGGTACTAGGTAGGAGTGGGTTTATTACTATGTTGATGAAATGGCCTTGGTAGTAATGGCCCTATTATACTAAAGGAGACTAGTCCTTTTCCAGTTCTAGGGTCTGTACAGAAGTTGAAGAAGCTCCCTGACAAGGGAGGTTGATATGTCCTTGAGGACTTTTGCAATATTATGGAGAAATTCTTGCAAGGTCGTGACTGAAACTCAAAGAAAAGCATGACGTTTAAAACAGCCTATGCATGCTGTGCTTTAAGCACTAACGCAGAATCTAGCCTGTCCCCACTGAAAGGTTTTACACTGAACCCAGCTTGTCTCAGTGTGATGCTCATCTTGTACCCAGAAAGTGGATACAGTAGCAGAAAGTGGGTGCAAAGTGAGGAGGACTTCACTCAGTGACTGTATCTTTGACCTCGTTCCTCTCTCCTTGACCATTTGTGACATTATGCCACCACCAGGGCTCCTTGCACATGGGAGGGACCAAATCCAGCCTGGGACAGAAGGCAGGACCCCAGGGCGGCCACATCCTGCCTTTGCCCTCCCTTGGGAGGGAAAGCAGTTGTGCCCTTTATCCTCTTTACCAAAAAAAAAAAGGAGGGGGGAACCCAATCCAACCAATTGCCAAGTACCAGAGCTCAATGGGGATCCCATGTGTGTCAGAGAGGGCTGTGCCGCACACCATTTTCAGTTGTTGATTTTTTTCAGAAGTAAATTGTCTTCCAAGGTACCTCTGGATAGATTCAAACTGCTAACCTTTTGGTTAGCAAGCAGGCATGTTAACATCTGCTTTGCCTTTGTGTCTACAGGAATGTGGGGGCTCATAGAAGCCAAGTGGGAGGAGCAGGGCTGTGAAGAGGCTACTTGCCCCGGATTCTCAGCTTTGCTTCCCCCCCACCCCATCCCCAAGCTCTGTTCTTACTTAACATCCCTCCAACCTGCCTCCCTGCAGTTCTTCCGCTTCTATCTGGAGCCTGGTAGATGCAGAAGCATACCAGAGAAAAATGTCTTATAACATTCAAGAAAGCTCATCATTGTCGTTGGTCCAAGAAGATGTGACAGAAAAGAAGTCCTCTGTTGAGGAGGAGAAGCAGTACATTTCCGCACCAGACCGTTCAGCAGAGTAGGTGTCATTAAAACCAACGCCCTGGCTTTGCCACCAATACCGCAGCTGGTGATGTGGCCTTGGGCAGGTCACTCTCTGTGGGGCCTTGGTCATTTCTGTAAACTCTGGCATCTAGCCCCTTTCTACCCAAGTGGTTCAGCTGGTATCAGTTATGTTCCCTAGAGCTGCTGGCAGAAGTCTGTGGGTGGAAATGAAGGCCCATTGGCAAGTCATATCCCAACCCCACAGCCCAGGTAGTGAAGGGTAGAGACTGGCCCACTATGCTTTGCAAGGAACTCACTGAAATTTTTGAAAAGTGAACTAAGTCAGTGGTGGTAGTCGTGAAGGAAAGCAAGCTCTTATTTGTTCTGCAAGAACATTAAATCCTGCCTTCTTTAGCAAGATAGAACAGAAAAACCATGAACATCTAGGAAGGTCACAGGTAGCTGGCACTTCAGGGCTGGATATAAAACTAACCAATAGCATCACATGTAGCAGGGAGAGAGATGCAGAGACCTGGGTCTGGCTAAGGCAAAGCTCCAAGCTGCTGTCTGTGTTGGTCAGCGCACACACAACCATCCTTAGCATTTGCCTCTCTCTGTTTTAATATTTAGAGTAATGAAGCCTGTAGTAGACCTGCCTCCTCTCAGCAAAACCAGAAAGGACAGTACTTTGCCCAGATTGAAGAAACAGTTCACTAAGAAGTGATATCAACTCCACCAGCCACCAAAAGTGCCAGACCGCACACCTGGACACTACTGTTCCCTCCTCCACCTGCCCTCCCTCTGCTGCCTACCCTCCTCTTGCCCCCTACCCTCCCCCTGCTCCCTGTCATCCTAATCTCCCGCCCACCTTTCCAGTCACTGTGTAATAAACATGCCTGCTCCAGCGCCAGGGTGAGGTGTGGGGTAGGCTGGACAGACCTGGCTAGCTCTCACTCATACAAGACTTAAGGATCTCCACAACCCTATTCTAGGCAGATACTTGGATAAGAGATTGTTGTGGCCTTGGGCATGGAAGAGTCTCAGACTCTCTTAACCAAACACACAGGGAGCCCTGAGTTTGGGGGAACACAGTTTCTGAGGACTCAGCCTAGAATCTCCCAGGCAGCAGCTCATTCAGACACCATCTGGACCAGGTAAAACCACCTTCCATTACCAACCACCCCATCAACATTTAGGATCCACCCAAGACATCATTCTTGTCTAGAATATCATCCTGCTGTGCCAATCATGCACCTTAGCTGAAAGACTTCAGTGATTAGCAGCTACATGAATATGCTGATGCAGAAAATCAGAAACAAGATCACAAGGTCCTTCCTCCTGAACTTCCAGAGATTGTGGTGAAGAGAATCGGGAATATGGACACACTATTCCACAGACTCAATGGCACATAACAACAACAACAATCCACAGACCAGCAGTCAGGAAATCCAAAAACAAATTGCACTCGGAAAATCTGCTGTCATGAACCTCTCCAGAGTGCTAAAGAGCCGTGTTGTCAGTCGAAACACAAAGGTGCATCTCATCCAGGCCATGGTCTTCTCAATTACTTGTTATGCATCAGAGAGTTGGACAATCACTAAGGATGACAGAAGAAAAATAGATGCCTTTGAGCTGTGGTGCTGGAGAAGAGTCTTGAACATACCATCAACTGTCAAGAAAACTAAGAGGTCTATTTGTGGGAGGATGAAACCAAGTTTTTCCTTGGAGGCTAGGATTTTGAAACCCCGCCTCAATTACTTTGGATACATGGCCAAGAGACACTGGTCGTTGGAGAAGGACGTCATGCTCAGAAGGGCGGACAGACAGCACAGGGAAGGATAACCTTGGATGAGATGGATTGATACAGTAACTGGGGCAATGGGGGTTGGTGTGTCAAAATTAGTGAGACTGGGTCAGGACAGGGAAGGGTTCAGAGCTGCTGTACGTAGGATCACTATACATCTCAGGTGACTCAACGGCACATAATAATAACATATTATGACAGGTTTGGAAGCAGGAGTGGCATCCACTTTCTAAATAACATGACTCCAGAAACTCTATGAACTTTGATAAATGTTGATCATTGTAGAGGGGCTTTACACCTTTTGTTCATAGGGTTACTGTGAGTCATGCTTGACTCGAAGGCAATCAACAAAAACAACGCCACAGACCAAAGAGAACAATATAGTTCTGGAGAGAAGAGTACAGTCAGAAAACAAGCCATCCAATTCAAAGAACTTAGCTGCAATACTAGAGAGAAAGGAACAGAAGCAGTTGATGCCAAATCCAGTGAACTCTGCCACAGGACCAAAGAATAAGGATCGCAGGCAGGGTGAGTTGCCCATCCCTTGCCTACTGGAATGTTAAGCTCCCCAAATAAAGCAAATCTTCCTGGGAGCCCAGGGACCAAAGAAAAATTCAGGCAAGGTGAGCTGTCTTTCCCTCTGAACTAGTGAGTCTCCCTCCCTGATGTGGTCATCAGATCAAGGACCTGCTAGGGTCTCAGGAAAGAAAAATCCTTTCAATGCAATGAAAAGGAAGAAGCAGACTATCTCACACCCTACACAAAACCAAAGCAAGACATTATCCCCCCCGAAAGTGATCAAAATACAGAATCATTAGATTTTCTGAACTTAAAAAGTCTGATGGAACTTTCTGACACAAAATTCAAAAGAACATAGTCAATAGAACAATATATTCAACGAGTGAAAGACAAACTCAAAGAATTGCAGGATTCTATAAGCAAAGACAAAAAGGAACTTTAAAAAATCCAAGATAATACAGATAAAACAAATGAGGAATTAGAAACTCTAGAAAGAACAAGATACTGCAATCTAGAATATGAGGACCAGTGTCTCAGAAGTTGTCAACATGTTGTAGGGACAAATGAGCAGAATGGAAGAGATGGAGGAAAGAATCAGCAAAATAGAAGGTAGAGTTCTCAGCACTCTACAGAAGGAAACAGAAGGAAAATGAAAAAGCCTAAGAACAATGTGAGACATCATCAAGAGGAATAACATGTGCATAATTGGACCTCTCCAAGGTACTGAGAAGCAATGATGTCAGTCTGGAGGCTAAGGTGTGCCTGATACAGGCCATGGTCTTTGCAATTACTCGCTATGCATCAGAAAGCTGAACAATGACTAGAGATGATAAAAGGAGAGTTGATGCCTTTGAGCTTTGGTGCTGAAGAAGAGTATTGATATACCATGAACTGCTAGGAGAGCAAACAAATTCATCCTAGAGAGGGTGAAGCCAGGCTGATTCTTGGAGGCAAGGATTCTGAAGCTCCATCTGACATACTTTGGACATGTTGCAAGGAGGGACCAGTCCTTGGAGAGGGACATCGCGCTTGGGAGCGCAGGAGAGGAAGACCCTCAATGATATGGATTGATTCTGTCACTTGGGTAGTGGGGATAGGCATGTCAGAGACAAAAATATTGGCAAGGAATAGAGCAGGGTTTAGGGCTGTTGTACATAGGATCGCTATGAGTTGCAAGTGACTTGATGGCACATAACAACAACAATTGGAATCCCAGAACAAAAAGATGTTAAAAAAAAAAGGCAATGAAAAAGCTGTGGAAGAGTTACTGCAAGAAAACTTTCCAGGAGTAGTAAGAATGAGCAAATATACATACAAGAGATGAGAGAACTTCATACAGAATAAACTCCAAAAGAAAAACACCAAAGCATATTATAGTCAAATTTGCCAGAGCCATATCTCAGTCACAAAAGGACAAATACTGCATAACACCACTGTTATAAACCAGGACTGGCAGGGAGATAGGGGAGGGAAACTAGGAAAAGAGTAAATAGGTAATGAGCACTGCATTGTTAACAGATGAGGGAAAGAATCGTTTAAAAGGAATATAGGATTAGGCATTATATGTATGACAACAGTCCAGAATAAGAGGTGCATTGCAAAGTAGACTGAAGGAGAAGGAAGAGAGGAGGAGGGAGAAAATTGTTCAACAATTAATGAATATTAAAAAAAATAAATAAACTGAACTGAGGAAAGGAGAAGGGAGAGGGGGAGAGGAAAATGTGCAAGAATGAATGAATGAAAATCCAATTTTTCTGTAAACTTTCGTTAAATTCACAATAACCTGAGAACTTCCCTAATAAGCTCCATAACCATGAGTATGGTTTTATGAGATCTGTGTGACCATTGCAATGAATTTTGGGCGAAGTAGTAGGATTACTGTTAGAATTAGTAGGTGCAAGTGAATGTGGACTACGTCTGACTTAATTGGTTTTATACCATGTATGTTGTGAATAGGGATAGTTCCCTGCTGTGAAATTAATAGAGGCCAGATGTGGCCATCCCTATGATACCTACATTCTTTTTTTCAGGCCCTGTTCCAGGTAGGCAGAAGTGTGACTGGGCTGGGGAACACCAAGGGAGGAGAAACAGAGCCTTTAGCCACAAAGGTCTGTCCTTCTCAATGATTATAGTGTTTTGGCAGAAAATGTGAGATTTAAATGCTCAGCCAGTATCGGAGATTAACAAACCTTTTATTATGTGTAGGTCAAGAACATCAGCTATTGCCCAAACTGTTCCAACCCCAAGAGGAAGCAAAGATTGGTCTTATATACAGATATTGGGCATGGGGGTTACACAACGTTCATTGAGGTTGGGAGTTGAGTTTTCCTTCCATTCAGGAGTCATTACTGTTTCTGACTTCTCCAGGCCCCGGGCCAGATACAGGTTGTAGTCAGGGAGTTGTAACCCAGCTGGGTCAACATGTACTGGAAACAAATCTTAGCAACACATATTATTGTCAAACTTATTAAGGCATACATTTCTTAACATGGTTGTCAGAACAAAACGGCTTCTCTGATATTAACACATAAAATGGTTTCTCCGGTTCAAATCCACCAGACGCTCTGCTGGAGAAGGAGGAGCAATCTCCTCCTGTACCAGTCAGATCAGATTTCACACACACACACACACATAATAAAATTTATTTTAAAAAATAGTTTCTCTAATGCTATTAAAATAGAAACTAAAACTATGGACATATATTTCCAGAAAACC